TTTTGGCTTTTCTGTTCAGGTGACCCAAATGATCAGACAAGGAATAAGGAAGCTCACGTGTCTAATGTGTGCGGTGTCTGAAAAAACTCAGAAACTCAAAGAATGTATCTGTGGAGGGTAGGAGAATATGAGTGTAACTGATATAATGTTCCTACACTCTCCTCACAGTCTCGATCAATAGATAATTTGTAAATGAATGTTTGTAAGTACGGTTTTGCAGTTTTAACATGGACCCAACAGCTGACTTGACCCCATAATGAAGTCAATCTTTTATACAAGATAAGTAAAAGTACCACAGAAAAAAAAAAAAAAAATTTGTTGGTTGGATTTGTAAAATTGTAACTGATGGTATGGTTATTTTAAAGCCATATGTAATCGTGTTATTTTATGAACTCTCCATCAAAAGCATTACTCTATTGAACTTTTTTAGAATTAGAGTTTTGGACACTAAAAGCTAATCATTAAATAAGATATTTATCAAACAAGTTAGTTAACAGATTTGCCCTGCAAAACTTTTAAATGAGGTTGAAGTTACTAATGTGAAAAGTGTCTGTAGCCATTCTTCTATGTATTGCATTCCATAATTCAATTTATAGATAAAATAAAAATATAAGAAGAAGAAGAAGGAGGAGAAATGGTTTCTGCATTTCCATTAAATGGAAAATTCACTATAAAGTATATTCAGCTTAACAGTGCATATGATATTTATAACAGAACACATAATTTCAGTATTGAACAAGCACAACTTATTTTGTTCATCATCAATGTCCAATGTTGTTTATGCAAAATGCAATAGTCATATGCAGTTTGTTCAAAATTTTTATACAAATTAAACTTCAGCCCTATAATTTACGCTTCATGCAGAGAAATGGAAGGGAGTTATATATTAGTAGGCCAAGCCCTCCCCTTATTTCGTTCAAGATTCAAAGCCAATTTTCTTCTTTATAAACTATAAATATCTATGCAAAACTTGAAAATTAAAATTTTAACAATTTTATTCATTTATTTATTTATTTATTTTTTTTATTTTTTTATTTATTTATTTTTTTTGCAATGAATTTTTACGAGTGTTTCAAAGGTTCATATCATCAGTATCTTTTTCTTTCAATTCAGCTACCCCTCTAAAAAAATCATGTAACAGCCCCTAAGTCAAGATTATTGATATCTTGATCATTAATGTGAAAGTTGCATTTGATCTAACTTGATGTGCTTGTTCCTACTGGACTCGAACAAATTGGTAGTTCGAGACCACCTTGTGGGGTTCTTGAAGGGAAAAACGTTCAAGTTAGAGCGTGAAGAAATTGGCGTTTATAATTTACGTAATCTGTATCATCTCATGTTTTAAGTGGTATTTCATCAACATTTCAGTCTGCTTCAGGTACATATATACCAAATGAACCAAGTCATAGAAATTAAAGCTTTCTTTCAATAGAGATTGCTATACTTTGCATCGCTATCAATGTTCAATGAGTATTTCAAATATTGGTGGGTGATAAGTGGCTATCTTTTTTATTTTTGTTGATGACAAAATTTGTGTTCATAATTAAGACTAGTTTTTACAACATAGTTTGTGATAGTTGGGTACCACTTAGTTACATTATGATAGTCAACTTGTGGTGAGTGGTGAAGATTGTGCTTTACATAACCAGACTTCTTTGCCCTTGATTAATTGAGTGTGTGTTGTTCATATAGTTTCAGTACCAAATTTGGCATTATCCATGTGCATTATTTTGGGAAATGATAATAGGCTAATAGTAAATTTATATTGTTGTGAAGTGTGTGATGATATAAGAGCGATGCTTTGAGTCTAATTTTGTCTATGTGACATGTAAAATAAACTCAAGTCTTTGATGACATGGATAAAACAATATAGAATTAATAAAATTCACTCCAATGCAAGAGACTAGGTCTCCACTTCGGTCTAAAATAGACTTAAGTGTAGGCTGTGACTCTTTTTCTGGCTGTCACGTCAGCAGGACTCAATCTACTTGCAATTGCATTGGAGAATATATTTATTTAGACTGGATATATTATCTAGGTGGCATATAAATTTTTTTGATTAAACCTAAAGTATTATGGATGCTCTAATGATGCAACTTTATCTCACCACAATAATAAATACTTCATTATATTTGAGGGGCAGCTATCGAACCAGGCCATTCTAGACTAACGGATGATTGGATACAAGTTATTTTAGTTTTGACAGAATTTGTTGGATAACTATAATTAATTTTGAAAAAATTGATTGAGTTCAGTATGAGTGGAATTTTGAATGAGTATTAAAGTATTATTTAAAATATAATGATTAAAGTTGATTTGATGTAAAATAGAATATGAGTGATTGGAAGTAATGTATAGTAAAAAATAGAGTTGTGAACGAGCCAAGTCGATTTCGTGCCCTTTACGAGCCAAAAATCAAACTCGAGCTCGACTCGTTTATTAATATTAACGAGTCGAGTTCGAGTCGATCTCGAACTTTAACGAGCCGAACTATAGAAAATTATATAAAAATTCTCTTTCCTAACCTTAACGAGCCGATCGACCCGACTCGTTAAAGAAACGAGTTTTAAGAAAGCTCGAATAAACTAGCCGAACCTAACTCGAGTCTTAACAAGTAAAACAAGCTCACGAGCGACTCATTTCGATTAACAACTCTAGTTAAAATTATGTGAGTTGATGAATAATAAATTAAAATTGATGTGATGTGTGATGATGATTGATTAATATTATTTAATTATATTGATAATATTAAGAAGAGTTGGACTGAATTAGTTTTTTAGTTAAAAAAATTATTTAGTCAAACGTGACCAGATAAATCTGTATCCAATCAAGGCGCTTTTGAAGCTCAAGTTTGACGAGTATTCAAACTTATTCGTGTTTGTTCGATTAACATTCAAACAAAATTTAGGCCCATGTTCTTTGTTATGTTTTTCGTCAAGTTCGTGTTCGTCTCGTTTATATTATTGAGCTTGTTTCTGAAATGTTCAGACCAATTAAGTTCGATTAGCTCCAATTCTTCCGTAGGCAAGCTGATGTAGAACGTGAATGACGAAAGGGAATAAAAGAGAACTCTCTCATGAGAACTCACAAAAGAACAAATAACTTTTCTTATTTCACCAAAAATTCTCTCACGAGAACTCACAAAAGAACAAATAACTTTTCTTATTTCACCAAAAATTGATCGTTCCATCTAGTTTCTACTACATAAATAGACTCTTGTCACCAATAAACTCCTAACTTGCTAACCAAGTTTTATTCCTAAAAGATAGATAGCATCCTAACAATAAAAAGAGATAAATAGGAATAATAGAAATAGTAATTATGCGAATAAATAATTATTTTAATGCCGGGAGCTCATCTTCATCACAAGCAAACAAAGGCAATACAATGAGAGCAGATAAACAATTGATACACTTACAAATACGGCAAGCAAACAGAGGCAACAAACGTGACAGTTTGATTTTTGACTTTTTATTTTTGTCCCATATTAAGTTTTGATTAATTGATATTTGTGTTTTGATTACTTGATATATGTTCATGTATATAATATATAAAACTAAAAATTAGTGTCATAATCAAACCAAATGAATTGAGCTTGGACATTTTGAGTCTTATATTCGAATTGTTCCCGTTCGTTTTGTTTATTTCGAACAAAAAATCGTGTTCAAACTTGTTTGTCAAAATTCGAGTTCATTCCTGTTTAATTAATTATTAAATAAATATTTTAAAATTATTTGATTAATGTGAGATTTGTTCATTTGAACTCGTTCGAGCTTAAAAATAAAAAATAAAAATGTTTTCATATTTTATTTTATTTTTATTAAAAACTATCAAACATATAAATATGAAAATAAATAAATCGACTTTTGAAAATTTATTGAATGCCCCTAATTTTCAGTTTGAACAAACTGTTAGATTAACAAACAAACGAGATCTTATCGAACAGAAACGAACTCGAACGAGCTTTTGCTTGCAAACGTTTAGTTAGTCAATAGCTCTATTAAAAATCATTTAGTTCCCGAACATGCTTCGTGTTCATTCGACAACTAAATAAACCTAATTTAATATTCAAACTATGGTCGATTACTAAACGAGCGAGCTATTATCGAACGTGAATGTTGGGTCCTAATCAAAACCAAAATTATTTAACTTAGTGTAAGACATATTAAAAGTTTAAACCACCAATTTTGAAATCGAAAAAATTAAACCCCAAACAAAAACTATGTTACCAACTTACCATACAAAGAGGAACACCAGTTAATTTCAAAATTTATTATATATTAGGGTATGCATAATCCCCAATCTCTTTTTGCTTTATTTACCATATTGCCCTCCGCTTGTCACGTGACATCTCCAAATTTCTAACGGTCCAAATGCTCAAGAATTCAAAACTCAAACTCCCAACTCCAAATGCCCAACGGTCATTTTATCTTTAATCCATTCCCCTCTCGCCCTCAAACTGCATCAAGAATTTCGTGGTAAAAAAGAAAAAGAAAAAAGAAAAAATCAAAGAAGTTAGTATCAGAAGTTCAAATAAATTCCCAGTTTTCGCTTCCTGTTGAAACCCAGTTGGCCAAACTAAAATTCCAAAAACCCTCAATAAGGAAGAAGCTATGGAGGGTTCTGAAAAGTGGCGAACTCCCTCAAAATCAGCTTCATCTCCCAAATCGCCTAAAATTGGTAAGAACCATATATTTTGATTTATTACTTTCTCTGTCTTCTGAATTAATGCGCAAGAAAAAGAAAACCCTTCTAATGCTTGTTCTTGGATGTGCTGTCGTGAACTGTAGATATAGGTTGTAAAATGTTCTTTTTCTCCTTTCCCAAGATCTATTTCTTTTGTCTGAAATATGATTCTTAATATAAATCTCATCGAGAAGAACCCTTTCTGTAATTAGACTGCATTTACAATTTCTAGGGTTTAATTGTTTTGGTTTCTTGCGGAGAGTGTTTTTTTAAATATCTCATTCGAGATGAAGAACCCCTTCTGTAATTAAACTGCATTTTACAATTTCTAGGGTTTAATCGTTTTGATTTCTTGGTGGGAATGTTTTTTCTGTCGTCTGTAATGCAATTTGGTTTTCCTTCATTCGGGGTTTTCCAAGATTTTGTATTCATTTGAAATTTTCGTTTGTTTTAGTTTCAGGAGTGAATGATGAGAACGATTCAACCCAATCAAATGTGTATCCCAACTTTCACAACCAAAAGAAAGCGGCTTCCAAACACTTCATGTCGACCACAGTATCGGCAGCTTCGAAAGCTGCACCCCTGAGAAGGAAAATACTTTCTGAAAGGGATGAAAATTCAGTCGAACCTGGTTTTGGAACTCACAAAACATCTTACCCCAACAAGAAGCAAATCCCCAGAAATACGAGGCCCAATTTTCCGAATCAATCCTCTTTGAAGGCTTACGACCCTCTGAAGAATTACCTCTCCCCAAGGCCCAAGTTCCTTCGGTTTAATCCCAACAGGAGGCGCGAGATTTTCAGTCGGCTTGAAAAGGAGGAGTTGAGTGATTCATCTGATTCTCGGGAAGTTAATAGTGAAGAATCTGATTCTCGGGAAGTTAATAGTGAAGAAGTTGAAGACTATTCTCTTTCAACTCTGAAAGGAAGTCCTGTGAAGCCAGAAAGGGAAGAAAATAATCGAATTTGTGATGATGATGATGATTATTATGGTGATGAGGATGAAGAAGAAGGTGATGAGGAAGAAATTGAGGAGAAGGGATGGTGTTTTCGAGGATTAATTGTTAAATTTGTGCTGATTTTGATTGCTTGTGCTGTGTCAACCTTGTATATTTGTACTATGAACTTGGGAAAAGATGGCCTTTCCACGATAAAGAGACAATCGTTTGAGGTGACTGGTGTTAAAATGTGGGGATCTGGTGGTTATGTTAGAGCTGAGGCAGGAGACAATTGTGGTGAATTTGAGGAGGGTGAATTTGTTGGGGGAGATGTTAATTGGGATGATCAACGGAGTCTCGATTTGGAAATAATTGAAGATGATGGTGTCCAAATTTTGGGTGTGGCTGAACTCGAAGAAGATGAAAATGGAGAATTTGAAGGGAGCCTTAAGGTGGAGGGTGATGTTGAGAGTGATTTTGAAAATTCAGGGAAAGATGAAGATGAGCTTGTCGTTGAAAATGAGAAACATGATGACTGTGAAGATAAAACTGATGGAGTAGAAATCGAGGATGCAAGAAATGCCGAATCTGAAGTCAAGATCGAGAATTTGGATGAATTGGTAAATGCAGAAAATGATGAGAGTTTGTTGAGGGAAGTAGAGTCTTCACATCAGGCTCTAAATGAGGATAACACGGCAAAAACTAAAGCTGCTGAAAACGAAAACGAGCATTCGACGGTTGAATTAGCTGACAGAAGTCAAATTGCGGAGAAAAACAATCTGGAGATGGAAATAAACGCTCCAGATCAAAATCATGAGCTCAAACTTTTAGAGAAAACTGAAGCTGCTGAGAACAAAATCGAGCAATCAACGGGTGAAAGAACCAATGAGAGCGAAAATGTGGCTGAAAAAAATCTGGGGATAGAAATGAAGGATCTCGATCAAATGCAGGAGCTCGAACTTGCAGATAAATCCACATTGACTGATGATCCAATTGATAATTCTGGCCATGTAGTAGTCGAAGATGAAGAAGCAGGTCGAAGAACGCCAGCTGTCATTGGATTCTTGATGGTGTCCATAATCTTGGCATGTCTGACTATAGCCATTTATAATTCAAAGAAAAAACCAAGAAACTATGGATCAGCTGATAATAAAAAATCCAAGCATGTGCTAGGAAAGCCAAATAAGACAGCCAGAGTTGAGGAAAAGAGGAAAGTTGAGTTTATTGCCAGACCTTCAGTGTTACATCACCCAGCGGAAGAAGAAGAAGCTTCTAGAAAGCTTGACCACAAACAACAATCTTATGTGCCAAATGTTGAGTTGATTGGTGAATTTGTTTTGGATCAACCAAGCAGCCGTAGGATTAAGAAACAAGAGATAGAATCATCTGGAGAGGGCAATGTGTCTTACTTCTTGCGCAAGCATGAAACTCTGACTCCACCGGCTGTGTCCGAGTATTCAAATATGAGTGCCACATCATCGTATGGAAGTTTTACAACACAGACGCAGATCATGAAGAAAGAGGTAATTTTTTTTTTCAAATTACATGCATGCCATTCTTTATTTTGTCATCCGAGTCTTGGTATATTTGCAGAAATTGAATGGTAGATTCTTGGTTATTAAATCTGTTTTGTCATACATGAAAAAAAAAAAAAAAACTACCCGAGTTAAGATGATGTAAGGAAATCCTTTATAGTGAAGTGCAAGATCTATAATGTTAATGACTAGCAAAAATATGAAGTCTTTCCTAGTCTTGTTTTGGTGCTGAGTTTTACTGATATGAAGAGTAAATGAGCTAGAATTATCGGCCAGAAAACTATATAATAGGAAAAAACTCTTGGTTATGATATGATAATTAATTTGTAAATGCATAACATTTTGCTGGTTACTACTACTGCCTTAGTTTTCTGATGAATAGAGGAAATATTTTCTGAAATGGAAACAAAACATCTCAAGGGGCATTATTTGTACTTCCTAAAGATAGACAATTATTATTATTATTTTTGTTCTTTCATTTTTGGGGATGATGAATTGTATATATTTTGAACTGAACAGGGAGGAGGGCAAAATGGAGAGCATACACCCGGATTAACTCCCGTTAGGCGATCGAGCAGGCTACGAAGTCGTGCAGCAGTCATAACCTCTCCATGATTTTCTTTCTTATCAAGTATTTTTAGGACTTGAGTTCTTCTAAAACAGCATTCTCAGTTGTTTCTCTTAATCTCTAAAGGGTTTTGAGGACTTGTAAAAGCCTTAACTCAATTAGCTTGTCTTGTCTGTATTCTCTAGGTTTTTCAAATGTTCTTGACATGTTTAAATGTCATGTATTCTGATCTAATCAGTCTCATCTGTTTGCAGCTTATTTTCTAGTGCCTTTGTCACTTTTCAAGTGGCCTTTGTTCTGGACATTTTTAAATGTCATGTATTCTGATCTAATCAAGTCTCATCTGTTTGCAGCTTATTTTCTTGTGCCTTTTTCACTTTTTCATCTGGCCTCTTCTTGTTAGTAGCATTAATACTGTTAGATTCCACTATTGGTTGGTTCACTTGCTAAATCTTAATTGTCTTGCCTTATAATCTTTCAAAGATACCAAAAAAAAGAGCCCGTTTGAAGTTTCAGATGAATTCATAGTTTCTCACTAAAAAGAAAGGTTTCAGGCTAGGTGTGTTAAAGTTGGGGATCATTATAGGCCTACCTTATAAACTTTATTCCTTAAAATGGGAAAGAAAAATATCCCACAACAAATATCTTTCCCATCAGCAATCTGGCTAAAAAGTTCAATAAATGGCCACCCTTTATATCCAGAAACAACAGGGAATCTCATTTTCTGTAGTTATAATGAAATTTGAAAACTAAAATTTAGAATCAACACAAAATTTGTTATATACAATACTCTCTCTCTCTCTCTCCCTCTCTCAATTGGGCTTGCTTTGCATAAGACCCCCTCTTTTATATGAAAAAGATGAACAAACCCTAGTGGCCTTTTTAGTGATTATGGCCTTAGGAAGAGTAAAAGACTTGTAGCTATGCAAACTAGTCCCAATGCTCTTAGAAGCCTTCAAATTCCTTCTATATGGAGTTGCCTTCTTAGCCAAATCCTCTATGCTTGCCACCCTTGAAAGTGATGTGAAAGACTCTGATTTCCCTTTGTAAAATTGTGATAGCCCTCTTCTGAAAATACAAAAAAAATGTTCCTATTTTTAGCCTTGCAAATCACCCAAAAAAAAAAAATTGAATCTTGAAGATTAAATTATATACAAATTAGGGAAAAAAAAAAGAAAAAAAGAAAAGAAAAAAGATCAAACTTTACTCACTTGATGGGCAATTGTTCCATCATTTCTGATAGATCATACAAAGCTTGACTCGAATTCAGAGAAAACGATGTCGACTCAGATGACGATGCATCGTCCATCACATCCGATAACGACGATCCATTTGAGACCGTTGATTCTTGACCGATGGATGATGTAGCCGATGATGATGGCGAAAATTTTTCGACATCATCATTGTTCATCGTCTTCATTGTACCATCATTATATTGAAACCAAGAACCTTGAAACACGTTTTGATTTTTCCCTTTAGCCATGTTACTCATAATCATGTTGTAATAACAATATGAATTGATAAATTGAAGCAAGAAAAATGATCTCCTTTGATCTCAATAACTTTATTTGCAATGGTACACATAAAATGAGCATATAACATGAACTCTTGGATCTAACCTAAGGAAACATTTATATAATGAGGCATGCAATAAATAAAATAAAGTTTTGAGTGGATCAGGCAAGTTGCTTGGTGAACAATGAGCTGCTTTATCACCTTATGGTGTACGGGTTTTCTATCTTTTGGGGGTACACGTGTCCAAAAACAATGGGATGACCAGAAAACCATCGTCCATTGGATAGAGTATACACGTCACGACAACACGTGTCGGCTAGTTATGGTGGTTGCACGGTTTATTTGGTGCGGCTGAGTGTGAGATTAGAGTGGCTTCGTGAGGCACAATTTATTAGGCAATAGTTTTTGCGCCTTATCCTCAGATTCGATATTATCTTATCCTATGATTTTGAAATGAAATACTTTGACTTAGGCCTACTTTCATCACAAGATAAGTTGTAATGTTTGTATATTGTATAGTGTGTGGGAAGCCCAATCCATATCCTAGTCACAACTTAATCCCCACCATATATTATATTGAATTAACAATTGAAAAAAGTGTATAATGTGACATATTTTGTGTCAAGAGACAAATTTGTTCAGATCTAGAAAACGAAAAACATGGGCTTTGATTGACCAAATTGTCTCACCTACCATGGCAAGAATCACATGCAATATTTTCTTGCTGCTTTTGTTTTCATTATGTCCATATTAATAGCAAAGATGGAGAAAATATACTTATTCTTGTACCAAGTTATTGTTGGAAATGGTGGGTATTTATTTGATTTTTGAATAATGACGAGGAATGATAAGAGACGAATTACAAACAATTGTGAAATATGCAATTGTCATTGATTAATGTCTATAATTTTCGAGAAAAATCTTCAACATACTTCTCAAATATGCATTGTTTGATGAATTTAATTGCATATGGAGAAAGTAGAAATGCTATGGAGTGATCTGATGGCTCCCTTATGGAGCAATTCATAACTTTATGTACTGACACGTGTTCAATGTGTATTTATTACAGGACACGCGTCAATACACAATTTGTGAATAACTATGGACGACTCCATAAGTTGAGTCATCTGATGGCTTCATAGCAAAACCAAAAAAGAAAGAGAGTGTGTAATGTAGTAGTTTATACAATGATTAAAAAGAATATCAAGAATATTAATGAAAATCTCATGTACGGTTCAGTAGAGTGGCAGTAAAGGTGACTTATCTGTCAACTTTTCCACTATGAAATTATTTTTTAATTTCATCTGAAAATCGTTTCTATTTTTTCTTATTCTTTTTGTTGATTTTTCAGTCCATAATGAGAAGAGTTTCTATCTTTTTTTTTCATCTATTATTCTCTTCTACCTAAAGTACCCATAGACCAAAAAAAAGAAGGCACCCCGACTCCAACAAGTATGAATGTTTTTTATGAGAACGTCAAAACCAAAATGAAAGAAAATCACTCTTGAATCTACCATAATTAAATAAAAGAACTCATGCATGTATAATATACATTAAGTCCTTATTTAGTTATTTACTGTTTTTTCATTAGGGATCATTTTTCATATACTTTTGTTGGGGTTGTCATATGTTTTTTAAATATTTTTATGTTACGACATCATTATGTTATTTAAAAAAAAATACATTGAAAGTTTATTTGTTCTACATTTTATTTTGTTCCGGCAATCATATGATTAATAAATTAATTTATTTATCTTATTAAATTTAATCGGTCAAAAACATTCGCCATCACGTGCATCGCACGTTCACTTTACTAGTATATAAAAAAAAGAGAGATTTTTTTTTTTTTACCTTTCCCCTAAAAATGTATGATAAAGGAATTTTAAAGTGTTTGATCTTGCAATGATGTGTTCAAGTTTACGTTTTGAATCTTAAAAGAGTTTAAATTATTTTCTATTTTTTTCGAAATGTTGTGAATTTAGCATGTATATTGCACTGGGTGGTAGCATTACGATATGAACTTTATTATGAATGTGCAGTGTACTAATAATTAAAAAGACTTCTCACTCTTTGATTTACTTAATTCAAAGCAATACCGTAAACAACAATATTATACAGTATTAACGATTAGCACGAATGCTAAAAAACGTAGAGAGACATTATTATTTTATTTTAAAATAGGATATTTCAGTATTAAAAAATTCATTAAAATAACAAGCATGGGTTGAAGGAGAAATGCAATCATAAAACTCCAGCCATTAGTTCAAACACTTCACTTAATCAGCTTCACTGTAGAGAAAGAAATCATATTCTCACAGCAGCATTCGAAATCGAACTCAATCCAAAAAAAACCAAAATATGAGTAAAAAAAAACACTCCATCTCATAGTTATTTTAACTCAGCAAACCTTCTTATAGCCATATTGGCTTTGAATGCATACACAAATCATCCACAAACTAATTACTTCGTAAATCTCGTAAACACAATTAAAAGAAGATAAATTCTACAGGCCTTGGTCGATAAGGTAGTCCCCCATCTTCTCAACGACCATGTTACACTGCCCAGGAGTCATTGGTTCCTCATAGATGCCAAAGATGAGAGCTTGGCTTGTTTTCTTAACAGTTATGCCTCCAGAACCCTACAATAGAAACGGCCAAAAAATGGAAGCTAGAAAAGTCAGTTTTGATTAACATTCGAAAAATGGAACACATTCTTCTAACAAGAACTTTGTACGGACAAACGGATGTAAAGTGTATAATCTCCAGTCCTTTTTTTGCTAAAACTACACTTTTGCCTTAGGAGAAGTCATTTTATTATGTAGCAGGGAATGAGGAATTTGGATGTGTTAGCAGATGAAAGATAAAAATGAAGTAATTAATAAGAAGAGTTTGGTGGATTGAAAAGAGTTTGGACCTTTTCACTAAAGGGCTCCTGCAATCTTCTCAAAAATCTCAAGGGCTATGACAAAATTATCCAGATGTCGTACAGTTTACACCAACTCCACTAAAAATGACAAATAATTCAAAAGGGAAAAGCACTTCACATCACCAACTTATCCAGCTGTTTTGTGCTGTTTTATTTAGGATACAGATAGAATTAGATCAACTTTTTTTAGCACGGCCAGCTAATGAACAATAGAAAGATTATAATTGATCCAACCAACGAAAAAGATAGTGATTTCTCAGATTAATAAAAAAAATAGTGAAATCCAGAGGAGAAAGGTCCACGAAAATTTGACAATCTAAAGAAAGAAAGAAAGAAAAGCACAAAGCATGTGATGAAAAAAAAATCTTCAAAAGTTACCAGAGCCAATCTTAACTAGAAAAAGTATTTCCAGAGAAGAAGATTATTGTCTATTTATGAAAGATACTATGAACTGTCTGCATAATGCCACATGCATAAACTCTTAGCAACTATGGACGTATCCAATCTTGGAAGAGAAAGAGGTATTAAAAGGTTCACCTTCTTTCCACGAATTACTGCACCAGGTTCTCCCTGAATAACCATATATTTCACCCCTCCAAGGAATAATCCAGTAGGAGCAAGGAACCCAGGCTCATCAAAATCCTTCACAATGTTAGCAATCTCTTGTGGATTGAACTGCAAAGGCAGATGTATAAATTCATCAAGACGTAGAACACATTGACACATTTGATACCGGAATTTACGAGCAATACTTGTCAGAACACAGAGATCCATCATCAGTGGCAGATATTTTATAAAATGCAAGCACACGCAAACTCACACACAGAGAAATGCAATCACGCTGAGACATTCAGTTCCATTCAATTCCTGCTCTGCTCTGGTTCAGAATGCTAAAATTTACTTCTCTTTCTCTTTAAGAGAATTATGCTTGGACACTAGTTCATCATCCATGTCAATCTAAAGCAATTTTCTTCGTAAGACCAGATTCCAAATGGGTTTTCATCCGCAATTCCAATTGTCACATCAAAACAACAGATTAATAAAATGCGAATTGCATTAAAATGTCTTCATCATAGATGTTAGTGTTCAGCCATAGTATCTATTGATCTGTGATGCCAAACACCATATGCCAACAGAGAACCCCACATCGAAGCAATCTCAGTAGATGCAGCCATAGTATTTATCCTTCCCCCAAAATCGTTCCACAAAAAAACTAACAAACATAAAAATTGCAAACAAGCACCATGTCTCAACGAAATACAAATAGATAAAACAGAAACGTATGTGAATTTCCATAGATCTCCATAGCAAAATCAAATCAAATGGCGATAAGGAGGGGAAGAGGAGAAGATTCTCAATAGCCCGTCAATCGAATCAGGGAATGCGAGGAGCAGAAAATCAATGGGGGAGTAGATCTGAACCTGAGGGAAGGAAGCGCTCTGAGCCCAGACGTTGCCGTCGATGCCGATGATGGCAGCGGCGGTGAGGTGAACGCCTTCGACCTCGCACATCAAGTGATCGTCCACGTACGTCTGCCACGACATGGTTGCCGGCGATGGATTTTTCTCCCTTTTTTTCGGGTTTTTTTTTTCTCTCCTTTTTTCTGGTAGCTTCTCCTGACAGTAGAGGCGTTTTGTTAGTCTGTTTTGTTGGATGAGAGGGAATGAATATATAGTGCGGGAAAAGGGAGAAGCTTGAGAGGTGGTGGGCTATGGCTGCCCGAACTTGATGGGCATTTTCTTGAATGAGTGGCCTTCACGACTGTCCATGAATGGTAACAGGCGTTGGTTACATGGAGCCATTGATGGGTGTCGTCGCATTGAATTAGGGCTCTCATTGCAATCTAACAATTTCTTCGTTATTGTATTTTCATGTTATTAGAATGAGTCCCGTGCACTGGGTAAGAGATATTCATTAATATTTATAAATTAAAAATTTTTTATTAAGTAATATTTGTAAATTAAAAATATAGAATCAAATACCTATATTAATTTGTTAAAAATATTATATAAAGTTTAAATTGTGAACAATTACATAAAAATGTCTATTTAAAATTAGTACGCAACCCATGCGATACATATAACTGATAATAAATTACATTATATTCGTTTCAAAATAAGTGCCATTTCAAATTTTTTATTCAGAAATTTGATTTTACTATAATGTGATTACATAAAATAATTATTTTGGTAAGATTTTATCATATATTTAACAACATATGTGAATAATAATTATAAAAATATAAAATTTATATTGTTTCATTACTTAAAATAATTTATTTTTGTATAAACTATTAAATAAAAAAAAAATTAAGTAGTTGAGTAATTTATTGAATTATAAATAATTAACTATTTCATTCACGTCCAAGTTAATATTGGCCCGTAAGTTATGAATAATTGTTTTTTTTTTTTAATTTTAAGTAAAAATATGTTTATTTTTTTATATATTATATACCAAATTTAAACTATGCAACTAATAAAGGTAATAACTGCAAGTTTTGCCAATATATTATATTTCACATTTAAATTATTCAACTAATAAAGGTAATAGCCGCAATATTTGACCAAAATAATTTTGTACATTAATTACATTAACTTAGGTAGGATTTTTCAAACTTTGGCAAGAAAAAAGAATTGCCCAATTTAGTATTTCTGAATTTTTAGGTGGGAAAACCAAATTTTTTTTTATTGATTTTTAATTACTATTTCAAGTAAATATCATTGTCTTTTTATATATTAATAGACGTCATATTTTTGTAGCGTGCTATGACATGGGATTTCACGATTTGTTGATTATTAGATATTTAATGATAAATTGTTTGAATCAAATAATTTGTTGACATTAACGTTAAAACATAATATTATTTAGTAGTAAATTTAAATTTATATCATTCATGATATTAAATATTCAATATTTGATTTTATGTTTATATTAAGTACATATTACTTAGGTCACATAATTTCATAATTTTTAATTACTTATTTTGATTAATAATCGAATAATTTATTCCTTTTTCTTTTGAAAATCTAAGGACTCTTTTTTTTTTTCTCCCCCAACAAAATGAAATGAGTCTAACTGGTAAAAGAATGTACTTTGTCAAATAATATATAATTGGATGTGATTTACTTGCCAAACATTGGATGTGATTTATTGATTAATAAATTTGTTAAGCGGGACATGCAAAAAATTTCAAAAATATTTGCTGAAAATTGTTCAAAACGAAAAACAGAAGCGGGAAAGAATGACTAAAGAAGCGGGAAATGAAATATTTTTTTCAAAGTTTTTCAAATAGTTTTTCTTCTCCTTATTATATAGTAATAGAT